ACTTTGTCGAATTTTCAGCGTGTGTTCCAGTGAATCTATTGCGCGTAGCGTAGTGGTCGCAACTGCCTTGCAATTTACATTGTGATATACGTTTGTTGTTCGATATATGTTTCGATCCCACACCCCAGGTTCATCAAGACTTCTAACTCTTCGGGTCAATGAAATTTGTATTGGCCATCTCTGGGAGGATAAAGAAACTACATAACACACCGATTGGTCACTGGGTCATTACATACACCAAATACGCACATCGAGTGCAAATCATAGCTGAGAATCAAACCTATGTATAATGAATGAGAAATAAAGTAACAATACCGTGAGGATCATTTTCAGCGGGCTCGTAAAGAATACAATCTGCAGAAGAACATCGCGATGTATTAGAAGGGCGAAGGACACCATTATGGAAAAGAAGAACACGGATACCACTGGTCGACGTGTCATATCGGCTGGCAGCGGTAAGAGACGATCTGCAGCGAATAGGATCGAGGAGTTCGCAAAAAGAAATTGTAGTAATGTTTGGAAGCATGAAATACGTGAAATTTTGACCAGTTGACAATCTTTGTGCAGAGGGTTGTTATAACCTGTAGCTTTTCGATTGAAATTGGGTGACCTTGCTTTTCGTGAATTCTTGCGCAGCTGGATTGAAAATCACTCGCTCGACGTTTCCCAAGTAGATGAGTGTTGTGCGAAAGTCATAAAAATGAAGGTGAGAAGCGCTACTGTAAAATCTATTAGGCAATTTAAAACGGTTCCTTAAGTGTGCAACAACAAAAGGTCGCATGTCAAAGATCTATGAACTTTATTGATCCAGCCTGATTCAATTCTTCATAATGAGCAAAGATGGTGAGTCGATTGGTCTAGATTTCTAATCCATGCATGTACTGATAGATTTATAAGTTTGACAGGACCACGGATCTCCATCATAGAGGGATACCATGCCGGTTAGTCGCAATGCAACGAGACGCGTTGCCAGTTGGCGGACAGGGAGTTATTCACCGATCAAAATCAACCCCATGCTTCCCTGAGACGCTGATGGGTCCAGGAGGATAGACTCTCAGTTTCTGCTTCACCAACTTGACACATTTTCTGTGTCTGCGAGGATAGTATCCATGCATGAAGGTGTGGATGTGTTCTCGTTTAAGCGGATTGTATTCTATGTGTCAATTCGACCATAAAAATTCTTTAATCAAGTAACAGGAAAATATATGGGATGCGGTTAGAAGTCCCCTCCAATAATTAAGCTTCCCTTCTACTCTGGATGAGACTGGCAAGCTACCTGCGAGTATACTCAGCTCCGCGTTCAGAGTTCATCAAGCCATCAAGCTATTAAGAGGACCTTATCCCGCTGAAGTCTATAGAGCCCTGATGCGGCAGCGTTGGGTAGAACGAGTACGGAGAGGCCGCCAAAATCTCAGGACCATCCTAGTCTGCCTAAATCTTAAGGCGCTAAAGTGATGTCTATCTACAATCTACGCTCACTTGCACCTAAGTCGACGATAAAGTACTTGACCATGTAGACAAGAAGGATAAGGCAGGTCGTCATTAAACTGGCACAAACGAGAAGATGCCACACACTCAACGCCGCCTGTGACACCGGAGAGGAACCGTTCTTTGGAACATGCGACAGCAGAGGAGGCGGCGGAGCCGGCGTCCCCGTCAATACATGTTCGGTCATGAGCATCGATTTATTTGAACAACTAACAGCCCAAATCCGACGATTATGTTTGCAGAAATTCGAATCAATACAGGCTTTGACAATATCCGCCACTTACTGACGTCAAGTTATGACGAAGAAGAAGTCGAAGCGTTCTATATGGAGCTGGAAAAGTTCCGCAGCAGAGACAATACATTCTTCAAAGTCATAATTGGAGATCTGAATGATAAGATTGATATCAGAAGAACGTTTGAAGGACGTCATATTGGAACCCACTGTCGGTATAAATGGAAGAAGGAGGGTGAGTTAGTGTCCGAGTTTATAATGACGATCAAGACCATTCGTAGTAACTCACAATTCCAGAAGCCCTCCGCTCAATGCTGGACTGCTGGACGTAAGAGTCTCCCAATGGAAAGTCACATAATGAAATGGAACGCATCGTAGTAAATCGAGGGCTTTGCCTAGCCGATGTCGCTGTCGTCCCGAAATTTTACAAGGGACCTAACCGTCTCCTCCATAGCGCAAGACTCTATTTCTTACGGAAAGGATGGAAAGTAGCTAAGCTCAAAAGACGAGATCCCCAAACCATCATAAGCTGGGATTTACTCAGTTCATTAGTCTGCTGCTGGGAAGATGCCGTTCTTGATGACATCGACAAGGAATACTATCGGCTCATTCAATTTGTTCACGTTTGCGTCATAAAAGCTGAGAGTGTGAAAATCAGAGACTTCTTTCTCCAAAGAATTCGCGTTGAAACACCAGCGCGTAATCTCAAGAGCTACGGTGAAGCGCCGACTCACGCAGGTTGAAAAGAATAGATCTTACTAAACGGCTAGCACCAATTAACAAACAAAATTCGGAAACTGAATATCTGCAAAAGTTTTGCGACATTCATCAAAGGATTTCGGGTGGAGTTAGCCGTTTCATATTTGTAAAACAGCTTTTTATGTCTTGTGTGGCTTGCAAGATGCGGTTCAAGCTAACGACGAATTTGGACCTTATAGAAGCTTGCCACATACAACGAAAGATAGGCGAAATAATGAGTTCCAACGATATTTGACAGGATCATACAGTGCAAACCTCGACTGAGTGCGTCGATCATCCGAGAACCGGGTAGAAACGATGAAAGCACTGCTCCTGAGAGGCCACACACAGCCGATATAGTCAGCATGTATCTAAAATGCTTTAGATGTTTTCTGGAATCTTTGAAATTGTTCCGGGCGAAAGCTTAGCTCATATGCAGTCAGAGACCAAGTCAGCGAAAAGCAAATGCCATTAGAACAAAAGAAAAAGCGAAACCAATTCTCAAATATTAAAATAGTAATGAAACAAAGCCGTGCACTCATTTTGCAACAAACCGCATTCGCTTGAAGCCAGCTTCGTGATGGGATCTAAACATCTACAATCCTATCCCATGATAGTTCAACATCAGATTAGTGACGGTGTTCTGTCAACTCCGATTATTGAATCGAACCGAATACATCCGACATCATGAACTACTGTACCTATCAGCAACAAGTTGTTCTATCTAGAAACGTCAAGAACCAGCTAGTTTTGTTACAGTCGAGTAAAGTCTTTCGAGTAGACCGTCAGACAACTGTCAAGTTTCTATATTTGTCAAACATGGAAATAAAGTAATACTAAATTCGTTGAGAATGTAACATCTGAGGAGAAAGACCCACTTGACTGCCTGAATATTTAGAACGGAGAACATCTCGGGCACCATTATTTTTTGTGGAAGCTTCGAGACATCGGTTGAAAGGCTGAAATAGTGATGACTAGGTCTGTTTATGCTATAATTATTTATTTTGCGTGACCCGCTTTCTCATGTGTTGTGCAAGTTTCCAGCATTTCCTTTCTTCGATTCATTTCCTCAGATCCTTCATCTACGGTATCCTTCAAGTTTCCGTGATGGTTCGTTTGGTGAAAATTGTTGTTTCTCAACTCCGAAAAGATTTGATGGGCTCGGCACCGTACCAGAACTAAGGCCCTTCTAGACGTAGAATACGTTTGCTTCTAATGAAATAGTATAGATTTAAAAGACCAACGTTCAATTAACCTCGGTACCAATCAATAAATTGCTGTGTTCTTACGAAAGCAACGGCATCAAAGACAGATTAAATCACAATGTCTTAACTTTTACTCTACTCTTTTTTCATCACAGAGCATGATGTGAAATACGACGACAAGGATGCTGAGAAGATATAAGCAAATCTCAGAAGTATAGATGCGAATCTGCGGTTGCCCTTACCTGGTGGTCACGTGCTATCCACTTCGCCGGCCAACAGTTTGCAAGGACATAAAATCCGACTGAAGTTCTAACATGCAGAACTAAACTTATCAGAAAACACGACCACTCTTTTTTTCACATCAGATAAGCTGGGGTACGTTATGGCGTTCAGTATGCCCAATGCCCGGGATCGACTCAGTGCCTAACCAACCACGCCACCACCACTCTCGTGAAATCGACACGAAATCCACAGCTGAAAGTGATCAGCACACTCCTTCCGCTTCACAAAATCTCGTGATTGCCATCCCAGGATTGGAAGAATAATCGACTAAACAACCATTCAACGAAATTCGTAAACAAGACCAAAAGTCCTCAAGCGGCAGGCGCCTTCACACGCCTATCTAAAAACTTGCGTGGGTACGGGATTTGATGAAAAAAATCGGATTCAGGACATGCTGAGATCTGCACGATGCGAAATGCCGAGCTGTATAAAATAAAGGAAAAAACGTTTGAGTTCCTATAGCAATTCATGCAATAAGTAACTAGATAACTAAATTGACCTGAATATCATGGTGATGATGAAGAAGAATATCGAAAGAAAGGCAACCAGAGTAGGTAAGAGGACTGGCAAATTCTTTCTTGGGTTTTTTGTTTCGTCGAAGAGGTATGAAGTGGCGTCAACGCCAGCGTACGCACACGAAAGAGCGCAGATGGCGCGCAACACCTGGATATTAAAAGTTGGATAGAGGAGTGGCATGAATCCTCGTTTATAGATCCACTCTAAATGAAGAAGGTATAAATACTACCGAAGATGTTGAGTCAATTACGACCTGATCGCTTCAAATACTTCTAGTTAAGGTTTTCTGAAGTGCCTACCTATTTTGCAATACAGCATTTTATTATAAAGTGCTGCTTCTAAACTTATTTTCTGCAGCCTTTTTCTACTGGTAACATCAAAAGTTTTTTTTCACTCACGTATATAATGGCTTTATTGTGAAGTCTGCATTTTGATGCTTGCGATCATTCTAATTCGTCCATTTTGAAAGAGTAGAAGCGCCAACAAAACCATGGAAATGGTGAGCTGCGAATTGTGGTCTAGTGGAGTTGCTTTCTACTTCATAAAAAAAGTGATTTTTTTAATGACTTCTGGTGATTTAGTCTCCGAACCATTTGCCGCCTCATCGTGGCTGAGAGGTGTTCCTGGGTGTCGGACTGCAATGTACAGCGGGGATTCGTCACACAGGCAGGGTCTCCCAAGCTGAGGAGTCCGGCCTTTCCATCAGGAAGCCTAGCTAAGAGTAAACTAATGCCAGGATCCACCATCGTCCTGGCATCAAAGTCGCATGGTGGCAAATCTCTCTCTGATCCACAAGTGTTGCGACTGTCTGCGGTGGTGAAGACCTGGGGCAGACATTGGTCAAGTTGACCTCGGGATTCAAGAGAACCACAATGGCTTAACCAGCAAATCTCTGAAAAAAGCAGATTATGCTGCGGTCCGTACAACCAGTGGAGGGTGGGCCATTCAAGTATCAAATCAGTAAGTATCTGGTGATTTAGACGCTTAGTTCGACTGCATGAAAAGGCGCTGCAAATGAAATCTCGTAATGGTCGCCTAGCTTCATACAAACTCACGCCATGGAAACCAAACCCAAAGAAGCTGGCGTTAATCCAGTTCTGAGGATCTGCATGGAAGAATCCGACCATCGTACAACTGGTTGTCATCAGCACGGATACTATGACAAGGCATAGCGATACTGTACCCACAACCTGAAATCAACACTCTGACCAACATGTTCGACAGAGATTTTTAGAAAGTGAACTTCCTATTTCCTCATAACTGCTTTAAATTGCTAGTAGAAAATTTTCATTCTGAAACGAAAATTGCATTAAACATATGGCTTACTCTAAGATTGCAAGAGAGAATAATAACGGTGACCAACACAGCACAAAGGGCCGTGAAATCGTACGTTTCATTCACGACCCACATGTCGGAATCGAAGTGCAGTATCGGTAGTGACATATAATAGTGTAGCGAGCGACGGAAGAGCAGGTTCTGAATCAAGGATCGGATCTGAACAAACTGGAAGTGGTGAGGAATACTTCCTGAATATTCGCTTGTTACTCGTATGAAATACTGAGATATTTGCAAAAGTCCGGACCACAGGTGTATGCAGTGGAGAACGAACACGCGCTCTCGTCCTCACCGGGGAGCAGCGCACTTCACCACTACACCATCCGGGTACACCAAGTAAGGACAAGAGCGCGTGTTCGTTCTCCACTGCATACACCTGTGGTCCGGAGTTTTGCAAATATCTCAGCATTTCATACGAGTTATATTTCGCAACATAACCTGCCATTAAGAAGAAAAAGGCAGTAAATAAAAGAGTTAAGATTCGCTTGTTAATTCAAACTGTTAAGCTCATATAGTAAGCCAGCAGTTTTATTTCAGAGCTTCTTCGTCTCAATAGCTATTTACTTATAATGAACTCGAGTTTTTTTTTGTTTATTTCTCCAATCCGTTACAGAGTCGACGATTTGGCTTTAGATATGCAGAAGAACGCCAATTCGAAATGGATCCTGCTGTGACAAAATCAGAACTACTGGGACAAAAGTTTTTCCGAGTGTTGCATTAATTTACATTAAATCCACTAACCATGTGCTCACTCCAAGAACTGCAAAGGATGGTCGAGATGCAGATGGAATCGAGAACGGCCGTCCAGGCGGCGAAGAAAGCAGGCAGTTCACCCAACATTGCGAACGTGAATTGGTACAGAACGCAACTCTTCGGCAACGCACATGACAGTTCGGTTAGATGAGCCGCTAAAAGCGTAAATGGTGTACAGAATTCTTAATAATATCGTTGAGAAATTGCTGTCTATTGTTAAACTTTTGTTACAAAAGTGTAAATGGCTGGAACGAAACGAAAATGGTGAAGTCGGACTGCGAGAGTCACAGTTTGAAAAGAATGCGTACTGCGTGCCTTGGGTACTTTCGTTGAGGATAATGGCGTTGATCAATTTCTCAGGAATGCGCCATGCATTCGACTGCATTCCAAGCATAATAGAGGTGGCCATATTTGACCTACACAATGTCCTACGGTGGTCTACTGATGTATCAAGTCAGTGGTTATACCTTACCAGACAAATGCGGTAACAAATTGATGATCCCGAAGGGATGTAGAGTTTGGACTGCCTATCAGACAGCGTCACATCAATTAACAGTCCACATCAATTAAGGGCGCGTGTGGCGCAGTGGTCGGAGGCGCCCTTCAACGCACACATGAGATCGATCCTGTACCCATAGCCCATCAAGCCTTCCATCTCTCGGACGTCGGCGAATAGGTACCAGCCCTGTCTGGGCGACAGCAGTACTTGCTCGATTCATCTGTAGGCCACCGCGAGTCATTGTAAAGGCCAGACATGCATTCAATCACCTTCAAATGGCGCTTAATGAAGTTGAATGCATGACGCATCCCTCGGGGATTGATCAACGCTGAGAGCTTTATCCTTTCTTTTATCAGACAGCATCAAATCAGCGAAGCTACACGTATAAAAGGACACGCTAGACCACGCGTATAAACGTCTCGACTTTAGTTATGAAATAATGACCACGGTCGTGTGGCATAGTTGGTAATTCATTGTGCACGTTAGACAAAATTCACCGGCTACGTTTTTTCAAATGAAATACATTTCCTTCGAAAAGTTTGAATAGCAGCCTAATGATGTCATCATGCAAGTTGCACTAACTTCATAAAATCGGTGAAAAACTGGAATCTAGGAAGAGTTTTCAACAATGTTACTGCTTCATTAGTGTAGTGAGCCAAATTAACGCAACTATCGGTAGAGGACGATCATTTGCTGATCTCGTTGAAAACATTAGGACTGTGAGGTCACCACCATCTTATACTCCAGCAATTCGACGGTTTTCACCCGTAAATACTCAGTGTTTGCTCATCGAACCGCCTTACCATCTGCTGGCTTAAAGCAGTCATCCCGAACTTAACCGCTCAGTGAATTTGAGGTTAAGATCCCTGGTTTAACTACTGCATTAACAGTTTCAAAAACCCTCGCTCAATCGTGTTGGTGATTTTTTTTCTTTTTCGTTAACGTAGTCCTCCCAGCGATTTGCTACGTCGCCGTGACTGGGAGGTTTTCTGAGTGTCGGGCTGCGATAGGCAGCGAGGGTTCATACCCCAGCAAAGTCACCCAACCTGAGAAGGAGCCGGGCGTTTCTATCAGGAAGCCCAGCTAAAAGTAAACCAATATCAGGATCCACCACCGTTCTAGTACCAAACTAGTCTCACAGTGGCAAATTCCCCTCTGACCCACAAGGTCGACAACTGCCCGAGGTAGTGAAAACTTGAAGAAAGCTTCGCCTAGGTGACGGTGGGTGTCCAAAGAACCGCAGTGGGTAATCCAGCAAACTTCCAAGAATGGAAATTATGCTGGGGACCCCACAACCACTGAGAGCGGGTCATCCAAATAACATTAGGTTTAACATTGTTGTCGTTCATGAATAATCAGATAAGAAGTAGCTTTCCCAGTTTTTCTCGCATTTTTTTTCCAATTTTAGTGCTCTTTTATGCTGTGCTGAAAAACGGAAAAGCGTACAATTCTGAAAAGTTCAGTTAAATACCGATCTATTCTTACATGACAGCAAAACAATGACAAATGTCAACAACACGGCGAGGATGGTCGACGGACCGGCCAGCGTGGTTAACGAGTACGGCATCAGCACGAAAATCAGGAGAGGTATCGACGAAGCACATACTGGAAACAATTATGCCATTGACCATCCAGTGATATCCATTACGCAATTTTTCACAAGAAAAACCTCTACGCGTCAGTAATAGAGCAAACCCTGCATTGAAGTCGGTATGAGTACAAGCTATCACAATATACTAAAGACCACATGAGGTAAGTCGTGCTTTTAATCCAGCGAAAGTTATCCGTTTCGGTAGCGAGTTCAATTGAAAAACTACTGTTTCTCGCTATTGCCTTTTGTTTGAAAGGAAAATCTTTTAGCGTTTTGAGAAAGCCGTTAGGTTCAGAAAGGCGAACGGTGAACCACGCATTCTTCGTCCACGACTCGTATATTTTTCTTACATAGTAATGATATTAGAATTATAGTAATACTCTGTCCATACTCCTATTCACCTAAGTGATGAAAAGTTGGGCAATATAACATCCATCGTAGAAAGGTGGATCTTTGAGAAATAGTGCTTCCACAGAGAGATGATTAAAAATTCTATGGTGCATGAAGGAACAACTTACTCTTCAAAGGCCCTAAACCGAACTACCAAGAAACCCTACGGGATAAATTTACAAATATTGGAGGTCTCGACCGGCTAAATTTTAATTTCTTAATGTTTTATTATACTTGTCCAAAACTTTAAAAAAGCTATGAAAAGATACGCTTTCCCATTACTTTTTCATTGAAGGTTTTTAACCTACGCAGTTGTGAAGATCTGCGACAAAGAAATCCGTTCCACTGTTTTCTTATTTACAAGGCCTTTTCCATGCTATTTATTTGACTTCTCTGGTCTCATTTTTCTTAGTTATCAAGCCATCAGTTGATTGTCGCTTCATCCCCTATCTAACTATCGGCCTTTTTTTCTAGAAAAGAGCGAATAAACTCACCTATGGCGACAGTAAATGGTATGTTTAGCGATCTGTTCAACTCAGAGTGATGCAAGAACTTCTCGGTGAGTAATTTTTCACGCAGCAATCTGCGCAACATTTTCCTGCAATATTCTGAATTCTTATGACGGCTCGGAACCGACAATAGCTTTTGGGAGGCGTTTGTAGTGTCAAGAGGAGAAATGGCTTCCTTGAACGTGAACATTCCGTTTACAGACCGTGGGAAAAGAAACTAACAACAGAGCAGAAAGCTGGGAACGATCACAATGATGGTAAGGAATTTTCAAAACTCGGACCCCAGGCCACAGTCAAACCCATGATCTCTACAGAAGACCAAAATGAGAGCACTAAGTGGTGCAGTGGACAATACGTAAGCCCCGGAAAACGGTAATCGCATGATCGAATCTGGCCTAGGATCCGAATTTTGGAAATATCCCAGCATCATTGTGGTTGTCCTTTGTATATCACGGTACCATGAAGAAATATAGGCAGCAAAAACGCCTCAAATGAACTTGAAAATCAAAACGTTCGACAGAATTCGAATGAGCGAGCCTCTGAGGCTACATCGTTTAAGCGCTATGTGGGTGGCCAACTATCATTCCGTCCCTGTGCAACAAGACAGAGAGGTGAGAGGACCATTGAGTCAAAAAGTTTCGAGCACGTTAGCTGATCGGTGGCTTCTCCGACAGGCGCGAATGCGGCTCATGTTGCAAACATTCTATCATCTTTTACCAGATTTTCCTACGATTTATGAGCAGTCAAATCCTTTTTCCCGCATCATTTTGCTCATTCAGCATCGTTTACTTTTCTACTATCTTCGAATGCTAGCAAAACAAAGACTTTATAGAATTTTAAAACTTATGCATTTGCACTTCTGGTCCCTGTTTAGTGAATTCATTATTCATTGTAATTCGGCATTAAACAGCTTTGGCGAAATTCCACATTTCTGTGGTGCAGTTACGATTACGGTAACCTAGAGTTTTGTAAGATAGGTTCATTCCTTGGTCCACGAGCGCTGATAGAATTGTACTCGTTTCGGCACAGACAAGCACTTTTGTAGTCAACAAGAGTTAGGACGTTGGACAAGTGGTACTCTCGGCAGACTTTTATCACACAAGATACGGTTGAAATGTGGTAAAATAAATGCTCAGTGAAGCAAAATATCTGTTGTGGGAATCCTAGTAGCACAAACGATGGTGCCTCATGCCATTTTTTGAGAAAAGGAGAATTTTGTGGATCACCTGTATCACCTGTAGTCCTGCTGATCGTCGAATGACTCGAGCGGGCGCCAGTAAATCTTCCATTTTTCCCTGTCGCGTGCAAGAGTAGCCTAGTCGGTACTGCTCGCTCTAGAGACTCGTCGAGCATCATATTTTTTTCTCTAGGCTCTTCGTGAAGAACTCTGACCATCGGGTTGGTGGTTTTCCTGCAGTACGTTTGACATCCCGAAGAATCCACTCACTAACGGCTCTTGTCCATCGGTTGTCATTCATACACATTACTTGTCCGGCCCACCTTATCTTCGACTGTTTAGTGTACAGAATAGCACCTTTGATTTTTGATCGTTGACGCAGGTCGGAGTTTAGGATCCCTTCCCTTACTTGTGTGGAACGGGATACTCCTACCATCGTCCTTTCGACCGCGCGTTCGATAACTCTGATTCTTCCATACTGCTTACGCAGCGACCAGGTTTCTGACGCATACGTTAGGGCAGGAAGTACCGTTGAGTCGAAAAGGTGGGCACGGAGTCAGGTGTTCCTTGTTCTCTTCACTACCTCCTCGATGCTCTTGAAAGCTCCTCAAGCCGCTCGTTTCCTTCTGACTCAACTCTGGAGCTAAGTCGTTCATCATGTTGATTTCCCGAACTAGATAAACATAACTGGAGCATTCGGAGACATTCGTTTCTTTGAGCGTGAATGGGACATATGAAACCAATCCTTTCTTCATGAACATCGTTTTTGTGAGATTTAGTCGAAGACCTATCTTTCCACAGGCTCTATCAAAGTCGGCAAGCATACGTTCTGTTTGGCTAATTTTGTGGATAAGGTCGCAATAACCTAATCTTGTGCAGAACTCTGATATAGTAGAGATATTAGTCTCGCAAACTCTCTAATTCAAGACGACATGTTTGATTTCGTTATGCCACTAGCTAGAAATTCTCAAAATTTGCTAAGAGTTGAGAGTGGAGCTTCTGAAATTGTTTGTTATTGGAGATAGTACTGGTTCTTATCATGAACTCAAACAGCAACATTTGCTCTTTGCTCAACTTCAACCCACGGCTACCCACGTGATGTTTTTCAGGCTTCCAGACCTAGGGCAGTATTGGTGCCGATTGAGTGTAGGGTATTAATAAAGCGCAGGGCATAAAGTTTTATTCATTGAGAGGTGGCTGGATCCGTATTCGGCTTGTACAATGATAGATGGCTGCACCAATGTGTTAATAATTTCTTGGTCTCAGCTAAGTCCGATAGGAATTTCCTGACCCTACGGAAAGACGAGGTTTTGTTTATCTAGGGCGATAGAGCGAACCAAAAACCACGTATTTCAGGACGCATGCAACCACTTCATTACCCTGCAGAGAAATGAGCGTTTTAGAAATCGTATAAAACTCAAGAATTCCTTACTCTATAAAAATTCTTCGATCTCATTTTTCGTCGCAACTTGAGGTTGAAGCGTGGGCGAGGAACGTTGTTGAAGCAGATGGTGGTTCACAGCAGTTGTTTTGAGCGTTAAAACTCCGACACGGGTCGTCGGTGATGCCAAGGAATCGTTCCGTTCACTGTCGAACTCATTTTGACGAAAATACCAAAATTGGAGTTTACCCCAACATCGCTTGTTCTGAATAACAGCGCTTCCTCGTCATTGTCGACTGCATTTAATGGCCAGTGTCCTCTCATTTCGACCACACACACATATAACATTGTGGTTCATCTTCTTCACTTCGACAACAACGACAATAGGTCATTCGTGAAAGTGCAAACCCAATACGTATCTGTCCAAAAATATAATTTTTCAATCTGTCAGTTGAAAACAAACATGTCTCCTTCGCCACAGAGAGACCTTTATCAATACAAATAAAAACCACTAGAACAAAAACGAAATCTTGTACTTAAATAAAGAAATCAAATAGCACGTTGTGTTTGCTGAACAAAAGTAGAAAAACGAAATCGCTGGGTAAAATTGCTTCATTGGACAGGTGCTCCACTGAAGAACGTTCGATTCTATACGACGATGAAGACACCACATCGAAAGTGCGAGAGACTGTGGCCATCGACTCGGATCATCGGCTCTGAGGAAGAAGAAGGCGTCGAAACGTTAGCCGAATGAGTTCTTTATCAACTTCGTGCAAGTTGAACAATCCAAATAAATGCTTATATAACTCTTTTTTTCTCTCGTCTATACCGTATGCATGAAGGCAACTGGACCATTGGTAGCTCATCATGAAGAAATAATTATGTCTGAATGCACTAATAACATCTGGCTCCTCTATAAGCTTGTCAATTCCTAAACTCCTTTAGTCATTAGAACATTTTCGGCAGTTGTCGAAAACCTCATACCAACGTGAGGGTCTTAATTAAGGCTGTCGGATGAAAAATGCGTTTGCCAGAATCACAGACCATCAATATTGTCCATCCAGATTTCAGAAAGATAAAATTCCCATAAAATTATTTCAGATATTCCATACTTGCTCCAAAGAACACTTCGGCATCCATTTCGCAGTGAGCGGAATGAAGCCCTTTACTTTCACTGCTTTCAGAAAAAGATAACCACGAGAATCTTATCCTAAAATATATTCCGAAGGCTGGTTATACTCGTGGGTGGCTTACCAACGACTTTCTAAACGCATGTAGAAAAATCTGTGGAAGACGTCTTCTCACCATGAGCTTCCGTGTCACTAAATAGAAAGGATTTTAGTTGAATGGACGTGGAGGAAAACTGCACCACCTCGCGAACTTTCGAAATGCATTCAGAATAGCAAAGCATAATAGTTAGCTGAAAAACGGGACAACGAAGGATCCACGTGTTCGCGATACTTTAGTGCCAATAGAGACTTAGCCTAAAGTTTTGTCAGAGGCCGTTGATGTGTCACATCCGTTGCTAGTTAAATATGGCTGATACACTTGACGACATAACTACTCGGTTCAACAGGCTTACCATTTATCCGTTAAAATCTCTCATTTTGATACGAAACTGTTGCAAAGCGCAGGGTATTGCAATATGAGCAACTTCGCACTCTTCATAGATTACCTCAATCACGGAATTTCTTTCTATATCACAAACTTTAACCTTACGTAGCACAGTGGTCTGAAGAAATGATGTGATTAAAGTGAAAGGTTTTGCAGCATGGATTCTTTGCTCACAATCACAACATCGTTGAAAATGTCAATCAAAGGCAAAGGACTGATTGGAGAGAATTTGGAGAGAAGACTGTTTATTGAAGAAATTAAATTTCGAGGGCGGAAGCCTTGAATCGGTCTGATTGACTGAAGACGGGGCGAAATCATGATAAAGCAGACTAGCAGAACACGTATGTCTTCTAACTAAGGCTCTCCTATAAACAAACGCTACGAATAACTCTGACTCTGAAGAAGGCGATTCTGCCGAAGCACCAGCTACGGTTGTGATTTATGTGTGTTATTGTATGGAAGTAAACGTATGCTGCTTAACAACCTCGCGATTGCTGAGAGAGAAAACGACGAATTCATAATCCAATGTCGAGCATAATACAAAGTCGATCCTGAGTGTTACAAATAACGTCGAATCCATTCTTGGTTTGACATTGTCAGGCTTCATTTGTGCGACATTCGTGTGTTCCAGTAAAAGGGATTTTGCAGATATAATAAGGACTATGATGTATCCCGTCCTATGCAGAATACTTTAAAACATCTCTACTCTTTATAATGCTAAGTGTCCGAATAATCTTCAGGCATTTTTCGATTTTACTGGAGCAGAATGGTAAGAGATTTATAGTCAAGTAGCGCAATTGAAATAACCTTGAATAAAGAAGTAGTTGCCTGTGAGAACAAATCATAGTAACAAATTTTATTCCTATAGATCCCACCACTTCTCTTCAGTTTGTAGGCCTATGAGGATAACAGTTCAATCTTCTGTTGACAAATAAGCCACAAAGGATCGACATGTCAGTGATGGAGAGCTCGCTTAGCATCTGCTGGATAGCTGGATATGAGTTCAGTGCAACGAATG